TTAATGGTCAGCCCTGACCGCAAGTGTTGGTTCTGCCATAGCGATACCTAGGTCAGCTGTAAAAATGGGTACAGAAGACTCTGGGGGGTTTACCTCGAGGATAAATTAGTCCTAAGGTTAAGGATGATGATCTGGTATATCTGAGATAATCAGTAATATTAACACAGGTTACAGGTTCAGAGGGTTTAAAGTGGAACACCTAAGCAGAGGTGTTAGGTATGGCAATTGGTGGGGAACCTTCAGGCAGACTCCTTAAATAGGTAATATAGAAAAGTTACATATGTAGCCAATTGTATGCTCTTCTGTAATGGTTCATTGAACCACAATACCAATAAGTGATTAATAAAAGTCAAAAAACCAAAGAAGTCACCTTAATACCAAAAAAAAAAAAAAAAAATGAAAAAATTAGTTGGTATATAAGATGAATTATCAATTTTTTAAGCACTAGTCTTCACTAATAAATTTAATAATTTTGCTGATCTATGCATAAAATCTGTACTATTAGTTTTTATTACAATACTTTGCATAGATTAATTAGTATATTATAACCTTAATGTAACCTGTAAATTAAGAATATATACTCAATTTATTTAATTTGTGCCAGTATGCTTCATTTGAAATATAAAAATCATAGATAAGTTAGATATTACTAAATAAATATGTCTCACTAAAAGTAATAGAAGTTTTTTATAATAATAGAATTCAATTAAATAATTAATCAATTTTTATTGATAATTAAAAAATTAATAATACAATTCAGATTTAATTGTTAAAGAATTCCAACACAATATATATTTAAACTTTTGTTAACCTTAAGCTTATAAATTTCAAGATTTTGAGACCAATATACTAAATTTATTTATTTACTAAAAAATGTTCTGATTTTAAAAAGCACATTCTATTTTTATTCAAATATAATCTCTTAATAATATATTATTTGATTTTTAATATTCTATTTTCTAAATTATTATAATAATTTAATAATTACCAAGCTCGAATAAGCTCAGCATTATTGTGTAGGTACTAACAACTGCTTTGCCAGATAACTTATTATTCTGATTAACTTGTTGGAGTTTTGTTTTAATATTAACATGGACATTCTGTTTAATATTTCAAAATACATTCATATAATCCTATATAAATCTAATTTTTTAAAAAGGAAAACCAATTCCTATTTTGCATTAGTATCAATTGCAAGATGAGTAATACTATTTACAGAATATTTATCATCTTCATATTCTTCAACTTCCTCTTTATTAAATCATTATCTTTCTTTTTCTAACATGTCTAATTAGTCTTGTAAAAAGTTATCAAAGTTTTCAATATTCACAATTTCATCTTCTAACTTGTCATTTGAATGTTTGTCTATTTTATTTATTTTTCTTTTGTTTAAAGATTCTTCTTCTATAATTTTTAAAAAACTCAATTTATCTACATTGTCTAAAGTAAGAATTTTAATGTTATTATTAGTTGGTATAGAATTCATTTCTAATAATGTATTAGATTGCTGCTCAGTAATATTTTTATATTGCTCAATGATATTGTCATGCTGTTGCTTAATGATATTGTTATATTGCTGCTCAATAATATTGTTATATAAAGATATTTTATTTATTTCTGAATTAGATTGGAGCCAATAGTTATATATGATATTAGCATGTAATTTACATATTTGCAAGGCTTTGGCAGGCTAAATAATAATTTAACATTAATAAGATCATTATTTAAAATATGTAATTTGAAAGTATAGTTAAATTTATCATTAATTGATTATACCAATTTGTGTATAAGAATCCTATACTGCTTTATAGTCATTTTATAGCAGCAGTATTTACACATATTCCAAAAATTCGAGTCACAACTAAACTCAGTTATTCAGTTGATAAATTTACAAAACACCAATATGCATAGATATCATTTTTAAATTGATCCTATGTATCTAAATCAAAAAGATATTTTTTTAAACAAAAATCATCAAACTCTCTTAAAATTTGTTTTGATTTTTTTCCAAACCATATATGATAATAATATATTAGTCATTGTCTAAAGTTAGCATAGTTAATATTTGTATTAAGCAGTTTTATATGAAAATTAGAATGTAAAAAATATGCGAGAATTAATAATAGCTGTTTTCACTCATGCTATCAGCATTCTAAACATAATATAAGTTAAGTACTAAGCTGCAAATCATCAGGATTATCTCAAAATTAAGCAAGATAACCCATACTCAAAATAATTTGATGTAATCAGGCTTTATCAGACTGCATTTTATTTAAAATAAAACAATATGGACAGAGAATGCTAAGTAGATGATGAATATCTGCTCAAAAATTTGAAGAACTAATAATTTCATATATTTCATGTTTTAATTTTGGCTTCAATCTAATACATTTAGAAGTTTTTTTAACAGGTGGCTCAACTTAATTACAAGGATCTGATAAATATTAATTTACTAGTCACTCTTCAATTTTAAATTATTTAACTTTAAATCTATAAAACAATATTAATTTTACTTGCAATGCCTTTTGTGATCTTAGAATATTTGAACAAACAGTATAAAAACTGTCTATTGTGTTTCTCTAGGTGCACTAATTGCAAAGTATTTTTTAAATACAGCATATTGTTCATCTTTTAATTTTGCAATAAAAAACTTATTCATTGGATTTCTAAAATATATAGCAAGATAGACAGCCTGGTTGATTGTTTTTTTAAAATTAGTTGATTGTTTAAAGATCTCTCTAATATACAAATTTATTTGATGTATATAATATAATAAGAATACAATTGATCTTTGTGCAATTCTTAAATGATGCCTATAAAAAAATTAATAAATAAATCTTTACTTTATTTTAAAATAAATAATAAAATATACCTAGCAGCTGCATATGCACTCACACTATTTATTACAACAGCAATAATTCTAATTGATTGTAAATTTAGTTCAGCAAACATCATATGTACTTTTTCAATAACTTTTATATATGTTTTATATTCTAAACTTATATTTAGTACTTTCCAAACATATGGTCTACCTTTTGACATAATAATTACTACTCTTAACAAATGTTCATTTCGAACATTAGTCCAACTATTGAAAGTTAGCATAATACCAACTTGATTCTTCTTTAACATAGCTAACATCATCTTATTAGATTCATTTGTTGCATTCTTTAAAATTCATCCTCCAAGCACATATTGATCAAGAAGCTTAATTAACAGATTAAGAAACTTAAACAACTTGGCTGCCTCAAGCTTGTTTACCCAATGCAGTGCCCATCCACAAGAAACTGTAAGCCATAAAAGAAGTTAATCAAATATTTTTACATCTTCTAGTGATAAAGCTCTTACAATATAATCATCTATTGGACCAAAAGATGAAGATCAAATAATTTTTGATAAAAAATATAAAGTTAAGAATACACTTTCATCAGTTTCTACAAAAGTATAATTTTTCAATAAATAAATGAGTAAATAAATAAATAAACAAATAATAAATAATACTTTACTTTTTGTAAAATCAACTAGTTTAAAAATTTTTTTTCTCTCTTCAGTAGTTGTTTCAGCAACAAAATGTAGACAATTTTTTAAATGTAAGATTATTCAATCTTTTTTATTTGAATAAAAGTTCTTAGTACCTTCTATTTGATCTAATTAGTTGATACAAGACTTACAATATACTTTTGTATTATATTTATTTATTTTTTTATTGGTTTTAATAATATATTTATCTAAAATAGTTGGTAAAGATGATGGCATGGCAATTATAATAATATTTGCTTGAATTGCAACAAAAAGATATGTATCAGACTAATACAAAAAGATATATTATTCAAAAAAAAAATTTGGTATAACTTATTGTTATTTAAAAGAAAAAGTGCATATTATTTAAATTCATATTCAAAAAAAAAGTGGATATCAAATTCAATTCACAAAAAATAAAACTTTTTTTTTAAATGTTAAGGTGAGTACATGCGACCCAGGATTTTACTGATAGTATAAGTTGGCCAGCGCCTGTACAT